CCAAGGTGATCTGTTACCTTTCTCAACTCCCGCACCGCGTTAACTACTTCCTCTTTTAGTTCCCTCACTTCAGAAATGAGAATGTCCATCTTTGATGGTCCTTGAGAAGAAGGCCCAAGAAGGAAAGAGCCATTGGGAAGAACCCCAATGGGGATGGAGTGTCCAGTGGATGGGGAGAAAGCAAAAGGGGACAAATGTCCAGAAGAAGAATATCCAGCAAAGGGGGTTGGGACCTGAGAAGTGGAGGGTCCAACAGCTGCTGACCAATGAACAGATGAAGGTGATCCCGCTGTTTCAGTTTTAATGGTATGCTGGCATCTTGACTCTTGAATGTTGGTAGAGGTGGGTGAGGTGTGAGGGAGGAAACATGATGGAGAAACTGCAAAATTAAAATTCACTTTGTTGTATATTGACATTTCTAGACACCTGGGTACTAAGGAAATTCACATGAATCAGGTTTTATGTCAACAGTGTGCACTGATAACAATGCCTGTTTTATTGACTTACAACATGCACAGTGTTCTGACTTCACAAAATAGGTCTGAAGGATTACTGCTGAAATTTTCTGTAACTATGTTAATGAAGTTTGTCAAGCTAGCTCATAGAAGGAAAGACATAGGTGCATAAAGTCTGCTCAGTTTTTCTGATATTCCTGTTTTGCTATGATTTATGGAAGAAGTATCTGATTTACTTATCAGTTAATAAATCAAGATGTTCAGAAGTTCTTAGCCAATTACCTCTGATGTATCTTTTTTTACAGCATGAGTAGCTACTTTTGTCACACTTTAAGTAACTTCCCCTTCCAAATGGAGAAGAGGATTATTATTATTAAGCTCTTTTCCTACACAGTTTTATCTTGCTAAGAATTGCAAAAGGACTACGAAAATTCAATCATGCAGCAATTTCAATCTATTTCACAAGATATTAGTATCTTATTGCAGGAAATTAGATTTTTTTTTAAAAAGAGACACATACAGAATTCAGTAACAGCAACTTGGAAAAAGAAAGGTTACAGAGATTTACAACATATTTCTGTCTAGATAAATTTCCAATCAGTAGAAATGAAGCTAAGGCATGAGGCAGACATTATTAACATCAGTAAGACACTCATTTGGAAAAAATGAGTTACAAGAAAGAACAAATACCTTACGCAAGATCTGACAACAGACACAGAAACTGAACTCCCAATTGCCTTGTTTGATTTCTATTTCTAAATAATTCAACATCCTCAGGGACGATTTCTCGCTTTCTTAGGCTTTAGGATTTTTGGAGGATTAGTAACTTGGAAAGTAAATAGCAAAGGAAAGGTCTGGAGAAAATTTTGCAGTTCTAATTCTGCCTGTTTGCTCTGCAACAAGACCTCACATATGTTTCAAAAATCACGAAAACTAGAAGCATTTTTTAACTATTTAAGTGTAGAAAAAAATGGCACAAACTACAGTATCTTCCTGCAATAATTAAACAATAATTAAACATAAACTCAAAACCAATAGACATTGTAAATCCATGACAATTTTTTTTTTTTAAATCAGGTTTTGCAAGCCTTTGAAGAGAAACTCAAAGACAGTACAATGGTGCCACAAGCTTCTTTTTTTCTTCAGTAAGTATTTATAATATCATTTCATATACAAGTCAGATTTTATTTATAATACTGATTTTGGTTAATGGAAGGTTTTTTAGATTTTATATGAGAATAATAGCATGTATAGCTTTGACCAAACTTACACTGCCTAGAATTTCAAATTTTCAGATATGCTTACTTATTTCTACTTAGAATTGAGTCTTGAAAGAGTTGACTTTCCCAAAATTTACCAAGAAACGCCACATTTGTTAAACTTATAAGAACATCCTGGAAGTAGTATGCCAGGAAAAAAAACTTATAACAGTAAAATGGCAAACTCTGGAGCTTTACAACTGACTGTGGTATAAGGAAAATTTTAATGTAGTTTGGTTAGATTTTTCTTAATTTCACAAATGCCATATACTGGCCCAATCATGAATACTGAACTCATGTTTCTACCCCTCATGATGTATGGCTATGCACTAGAGAATCTGTACAAACTATGAGGATCACAGCAGAAGCACTCATACGGTCATCTCTCCAGATGTTCACTTATCTACTGAACTGCATGATGTATTTTTTTTTCATGGAAATATCAAGAATCTGACAAATTTGCAATAGAAGAAATAAGCAAGGAGCTGCCACATACCCATTCCCCACTATAGTGGTTACCTAGGGCAAGCACTGCAGACACTACCTTATAATGTTTCCCCAGCAGTTGGAAAGTAACCTCAGAAACTGGCTGAAGCCAAACATGATAAAGGGCAAAAAAACTTATTTCCTGCAGTAAAATACTCATCAGACTAGACAGTGGGACACTGGTGCCTTCACAAGAATGGGAGACACACATTCTCTCAAAGGCAACCTCGCTGACGGGTATCTGATAAAGTTCAATTCTGATCAGTAGTGCTGGAGATTAGGGTACTCAGACAAGAATGTAAACTCAAGCTAGTAGTTTCTCAGTTTTGGAAACACAGAACAGAGAGTCAAAGATTGCTTCAGTCCAAAACTCTGGCAACCCAATGGCACAGAAATTAAGTAAAGCAAAATTCATTGGAAATCCACTCAAGCAATCAGCAGTACTGTTTACTGATGATAAATGTGGAATGAAGCAGGCAGGTAAAACTGAACAAATGCACAGAGTACAGTTCTTAACAAGCAAAATGACCTAAGAGCTATAACACAACTGAGACAGCTGGGAACCATGGAGACCACCTGTGAAAGGTTCCTTCAGCAACCTTTTCATGTAGCACTGCATTTCTTGGAAGCTCCTACACTCACAGAATCATAAAGGGACTGAGACCACCTCAGAGAAGAACCTTATGCTGTTTTACCATTACCACAAAAACTATTTTAAAGCAAAAAGAAAAAAAAAATAGTTAAGGTGAGATCTTGACTCTTGAATCTTATAGAGAATAATAACAAAGATATAATCACAAAACAGGTAACAGTTGAAGAGAATGCTCTGCACAAGGGACAAAAACACTGTTCTTATGTGCAGAGCCAACAGCAAGATTTTTAAAAAATTCAACAGGAAATGCTACAAACAGATAGCCCTCAAGAGGAATAATGAAATATAAAAGAAACAAAGGAGAAAAAAGACAAGCAAGCAGCGTGAGAGGAACACGGGTCAAAGAGTAGAGATGAGAGCACAGGTCAAAGAGTAGGAAGAAATAGATTAAAAGGAGACCAGGTATAACCAACAAGTGGAAAAAAAACCTGACTAGATCAAATACTGATGCTACCTTGCATGCACAGATGAAAGAGAAAACTTAGAAATAACAACAACAAAAAAGCCTAAAGCAATATAAAATTGTGGAACACAAGGGTTTTGCACTTGGGTCAGGGTAAGACTAGATATGTATACAGACTGGGAAAGAATTCCTTGAGAGTATTCCTGCTGAGAAGGGCTTATGGGTCCTTGCTGATGAAAAACTTAGCATGAGCCAGCACTGTGTGTTTACTTGCAGCCTAAAAGGCCAATGGTATCATGGGTTCCTTCAGAAGAGAGGTGGCCAGCAGGGTGAGGGAGGTGACTGTCACCTTCTGCTCCAATTTCATGAGGCCTCATCTGGAGTACTGCAGCCATCTGGGGCCCCCAACAAAGGAAAAATGTGGAGCTTTTGGAGCGCGTCCAGAGGAGGACCATGAAGATGATCAGAAGTCTTGGGCACTTCTCCTGTGAAGACAGGCTGAGGGAGCTGGGCTTAATTCAGTTTGGAGAAGAGAAGGCGAAACGTCATTATGGCCTTCCAGTATTTAAAGGGAAATTATAATCAGGAGAAAAATCAACATTTTACATGGATCGTTAGTGATAGGACAAGGGATAATGGTTTTAAACTAAAGAAGAGAAGATTAAGAGAAGATGTGATGGAGGAAGCGGGAGGAATCTTTTCACTGGGAGTGTGGTGAGATGCTGTAAGAGGCTGTCCAGTGAAGCTGTGGATGCCCCATCCCTGGAGGTGTTCAAGGCCAGGTTGGAGGCAACCTGACCTACTACTTGACCAGGCAGTTGGCAGCCCTGCCTGCAGTAGGGAAGTTAGAACTCAATGATCTTTGAGGTCCCTTGCAACCCAAGCCTTTCTATGATTCTATGATTATTTGATCTGCGCTGAAGAAACAAGATCAACGATGAACATGGAGAAAATTAAGGCAAACATCAGAAGATCAGCAAAAGAAGCAGCTGCACATTTTCTATTTCATTTTTACATATTGTATTGTGCATTTTTACAGTCTCCAGATTGCTGCTGTATGTCAATCATAGGACCTGTTAATCTGTACATGTAAGTTTATTCAAGTTTTTGCATCACAAAAGTGATGGGAAATACTACACTGCCACTGAGGTTTATGAAACACTAAGCTAACATAAAGAAAGTTACAACAAATAACTTCAATGTTTTGACAGTCATCATTTTTCTGTCTGAATAAACATGTTCTTCACCCTTGATAATCTAAAATATGGCAGTATTTATCAGTACCCTATCTGAGGGCTCTTAGTGGCTTGTTGAACCTATTAGTTACAGAGTATAAACTAAATATACGTATGGGAGAATGCATTACGGTAAAGCAAAAGCTTGTAAACTAGCACTATCTCAACCACTGCATGGAGATATTTTCTTCTTTACCTAAATCTTGCTGGGATATCGCAACTTCATTCTACAAAAACAACTACTTCATTTACAGCAGCTCACTTCAAATAATAGATAAGGCATCCACAACACTGAAACACCATCATCTGATTGTTCACACCGTGTCTTGTTGACTGTTGTTTTTACTAGAAGACCAGCAATTCCACATCCCACATTAAAAAAAAAAAAAAAAAAAAAAAAAAAAAAATCTTCTAAAAACCATGAATTTATTGCAGTAATGCAAAGGCAGATGCAGGTATTTATTGTATCCTGGAATATACTTTGAGATAAAATTGTCCTGTATTACTCACCTTGATCTCTTTCATGCCATGTCCGACTTCCCGCAGCTGGTGAATTTGGAGAAGGATAAAAGTCTCCTGTCGGGCTTGGCTCCATATTCTCATCTATGGAGATAGTTTTGGGTCTTTTGCTGTTGAAATAACGTCAGGTTTGGCAGTGAGAATGATACACAGATAGGAATGATATATAAACTTTGTATTTCAACAAAAATATTCAATAGAAAATAATCCAGGCATATAAAGCACAAAAGCTTGGGTTTTAGAACTTTTGCAAACAAACATAGAATGTATTATGTAATAAAGTAATTTGGGCAGGTGATTGCATTTTTCATGTCACTTAATATTTCAGAGATGGCGTGATTGGGTAACATAGAAAAGCTGCAATTCTTCTCCATCTACCAGAGACAGCTGCGCAACTGAGAAAACAATTCCTGTAACCTACCAATGAAAAGTTTTCTCATGAGAATGTTAAATAATACACAGAAATAACAAAAGCAAAATAAAGTACTGGAAAAGGGTTACTAGTAAAGTAGTCCTATTTTCAGCTGATTTCCTGCATAGTGGCATGTGTGTTGCTATGTTTTGGCTACAAGAGAAAAACAATGTTGTTAAAACAACATTTAGTTATTGCTGAGGAGTGCTGCACAGAGCCATGGACATTTTGTACTGTCTTACAGTAAGGAAGCTATGATGGATAAAGGGAAGAGGGGGACAGAGCCACAGCTGTCCTAAGCTGGCCAAAGGGATAATCTATGCAATGTGTATTATGCAAAAAATAAATAAATAAACACTGAGGAGAGATGGCTAGGGAGGCAGCCACTGCTCAGGAACTGTATATACTGTATTACTATTGTTTCTCTGATCATTTTCTGTCTTAGTAAATACTTCCTAACTAAAGGCTTAAATTCTACCCTTTTTCCCCAGTTCTCTCCCTCATCCCACTGGGAATGGAGGGCTGTGTGGTTCTCAGCTGCCCACTGGGATCAATCACAACAAAGGTCAAGGTAAAACAGAAAGTTTTGTGAATGTTAATAAGAGAAAAACATAGCTAATTGTATTCTGCCATGTCAAAATCCTAAGCTTTTTAAAAAGCTATAACCTGAAACAAGACTTTCCATTTTAGATTAATTTAATTGAAAACAAAAGGCCCATATTTCATGTCCCTGTATAAAATGAGGCAGCACTTATATACAGTGAAGCCATATTTCTCTGTAACAATAAATACTGAAGCTGCTATGCTGACTAACAAAGAAAATCAAGATGAAATTTTCAGTGGTATTATTTCTACCCCTACTATTGGTATTGCTATAGACTGTGAAAATGAATTTATTCTTTTTTAAATGTACCAAGTGATCTGACCAGCTGAAAATATAATTGAATAAATGGGGGACCATCAACTCAATAACTCTGAGTTCTAGGCACTAGTGGAGTTTCTGACAGTCATATTATATGCTGTCCCACTGTGCAGACATTTCCAGAGTCCCTGGAGTGCAGAAACCAAGAGGATGAGAGATCCTGAAGTACTTGTGATTTCATGGTACATCAGTCAGCTGGAGATAGACAAAGAGCACTAGGATTTATGACAGACCGTACATGATCTGGGACCCGAAAGAGGACAAAGAAAGTTCTCCACCTCCATGGGTCTGCCAGCTGCTCCTGAGATACAGAACCAGGTGTTTCTCAGAGTCAGAAGAAAGGAGCTTGCTGAACCAAGACATGAGTCCCTCAGATCAAACATGGAGATTCCAGAGAAAAATCACACACTCCTCCTCATTCCCAATGTGCTGTGAACCACTTGTCCCCCACTGACTCACATTAGTATTCATTTCAAGTTTTTACCTGCTTGGTGGAGAGGATAAAGACCTCTGCAGATTTATACCAGAATTCATATCATGGTAATACGGTTGGCTCGGAAGTTCTCCAATTGGGAAGTTCACTCCAGTTCCTTGGGTTATAGGTGCTGAAAAACATACCATTACAAAGAGTCAAAGATAATCTTCTATCTTTTTAGCCATCTTTTCATTTTTAACACCAGGAAGAACATCAAGATGTTGCTACGTGCATCTAATTTTCTGCCTCTGGCAGAAACCAAGTACAGACAAGTTTTATCAATGTTCATATATCTAAAAAGTGAAATACCTTCCCTAGTCCCTAGAAATCCCTTAGCAGTTATGCAGACATAATATATTTGTTGTATGTGTTTGTTTTATAATGGATAACCTAGAGTCATCCATGTGAAGAAGATAATAAAACCTTCACCTTTAGTTTGGAGAAAAAAGAAGCTCAGGAATGACATTATCGCTCTCTCCAACTACCTGAAGGGAGGATGTGGTGACGTGGGGATTGGCCTCTTCTCCTATGTAACTAGCAATAGCACTAGAGAGAATGGCCTCAAGCTGCACCAGCGGAGATTCAGTTTGGATGTTAGGAAATAATTTCCCTAGAGAGATGTCAGGTGCTGAAATGGGCTGCCCAGGGAGTTGGTCCCTGAAGGTGTTCAAGAAACATTTAGATGTTGTGCTGAGGGACATGGTTTAGTGGGAAATACTGATGATAGGTAGATGTTTGGACTTTATGATCTTGGAGGTCTTTTACAATCTTGGTGATTCTATGACTCTATGATTCACTAGTTGGACTTTTACAGTGAGAGGGGAAGGGCTTCTACAGAGATCTCATATTCTCTATGGAAGTACTGAAATAATCAGAAAGAACAAACCTGGGGACACAAAACCTCTTTTCCTTTATGTTAAATCTTAGCATTATTAGTAGCGTGCTGTGGTAACAGCATGTTGTGCCACCTTCTTTTTCTTTCACCCAGGGCCACAGGTACTGCTTTGCATATGTACACCTACCTACAAATACACATTCACTCAATGTTATCTTCACCTTCTTACAAAGTCTGTGTACCATACGTTTTAGCATTTCAAGAATAAATTACATATTGCACATTGTGGTATGCTTACCTTTATTCACTGTCTGTGCATTGTGCATTTTAACTACCTTTGGCACTTAAAAGAATAATTGCATGTTGTGTAATATATCTGAAGGTTTGTATTTTTCCTGACAGTTAAAATACAACTCTGCTGTGGCTTGAGGTTAAACAAATACGTGGTAAGAAATCCCACAGAAACCACATTCTTCAAAGCTTATTATTAGAAGTATATCATGTATTACAGCTGCAAAAGGTATGATTTTCTAGGGTAACTACAATATTGATTCTTTTTTAATCTGAATGGCCCAATACTTTTAAAGGTATTTAACCACTTAACAACTACAAACAAAGCTATATTTCACTGACTCTCAATCTCCTAAAACAGCAAAAACATATCTTCAGCAGGGACAGAAAGAAAGAACAAAAGTGTTACCGTTACGGGATGACAATGCTCAGTGTTTTCCTGAAGATTTAATATGATCTTAATTGCTGAATATTAATTTCTGACCATGGCAAATGACATAACTCAAGCTCAATGAATACATCAAGCGTCCTCTCCTGACATGAACTAGTTTCTATACAAAATTTGAACAGAGAATTTCAGACTACTCTGTCTCACTGTTTTGTTGGTGTGGGGTTTTTGGTTTTGGGTTTTGTTTTGGTTTTTTTTGTTGGTTTTTTTTTCGTTTGTTTTTTGGTATATTTGCATGTGTAAGACTTCTGATGCCAAAATAAGCCAAGCCAAGGGAAGAGAAGGGAAAAGACTGATATCAAGAAAAAATCCTTAATTTAGAAGTGATTAAGTGCAAATATGAACTTACTTCTGGACACTCTCACAAGTTCTGACACGTTGAACACTCCAGATTTTACAAAACTGTCCTCAAGATACACTGAAAAAGATCATAATAACAAAATCAGCATAGTGAGAAGATTAATAAATAACTACAGATAAATGTATACACAAGGTAACAACAGTATTAGCAGAGTACCGAAAATACAGTGTGCAGAACAAATCACTCTGAAAGCTGATCACAAAATCAAATGAAAGCTGAGATTCAGGAAGAGGTGCTAAATTTTCAAGGAGCTGTGGGAAAGCAATTCTTTAATACACACATGAAAATTAACAAACAGTATATTGTGTTCATAGTTAACCATCCAGAAACAACCTAAAAATTAGTTCCTTTCATTACTGTCTTTAATTTTTAAGTCAGTAGTGAGTTAAGAACTGGAATTCAGGACAATGCAGTAGCTGTGTCCTAGTATACATTTCTCATAAACAGACAATATCTCATTCTGCAGTGACTTTACAACCTTAGTTACCAAATTATCACATCTGAGGCAGACAAGAATTTTATTTTTGTTTCCAATAAAAGCCAGAACTAGGCAAAACAACCCATAAGTTCAGGGGGATGCTGAAGTACAGGCACCTAGAAATCAGTGTCTATGAAGACATATATCATCACAGGCCAAAATGGCCTCTGCTTATTTATTCTAAGATAAACGTATATGACACAGTCTCCCTTCCTTCAAGTTTTGGCACACCTTGGGGGTCTGCAGTTAGAACAGCAAATGATCAATAGCTATCCCAGTAATGTAACTAGATACTGTAAAAAAAGGGAGCTGAGAAACCCAGGTTTCTGTGGAAGTCTCACGCTGAAAATCATTGCATGAGCTGTCCCAACTAAATGTGCAATCATGTGACAAGGTCGTTACAGATAGGAATGTCATTCATTTGCTACTGGAATTATTTGGATCCAAACTTTGCACACATTGCTGCTCTACCTTCTTATTTTTATGTCATGTAAGAAGGTGCACGAAGAATTGCTTACTGTGCTTCTCTAGCCTCTTTTCTGGATTAACATAGTTCTTTTCTATTGGAAATCTACTGTTAGATGTTTGTTCCAAATGTTAGAATGCGTGAAAGTCCTAACCAATAAAACAAGCACAAAAGTAAAAAAATTCACCTGCCAGTGCTGATGTCATTAGGTTTCTTTTGGCAATTGCTACTTTTTTTAAATGATTTTAAAAAACGCTGCCACTATAATCAGAATTTTGACTGTAAAATTTTGCTTCACTGGAGAGATCCATCCTTGGTACTTCTGGAGAAACCTCTGCTCACTTTTAGGGATCAAATAAGTATAGCATAAAGATCATTTATCACTGCTTTTCAATCTTACTGGCCCCAGAGATCCTTCGCACATCATTTAACAAGTAGAGGTATAAATAACGCACCTAACAACTGAGAGAGAAAGAGTGTGAATACTTTCAACTAAGCACATTTGTTATAGCCTCTCCTGATATCTCTGTTACAGTTAGACCTATAAGCCAGTCTCAGTTTTCTCAGGCTGAAAAATCACAGGATGAAGTGCAATGGGCATGCGGAGCACCACGGGTCTGTGGAACCATACAGTGATACAACAATCACTGTCACTTCATATGATGTCTTTCTTTCCAGCAGCAGTTCTATGGATATCCCTCTCTCCCTCTTTCTCTCAACAATTTCTCTTCATATCTATTACCTTTTCCTCTCTTATTTCTAAAAAAATACTAGTCCATTTCTCTTCCATCTTCTACATTCCCTTGCACTCTTTCTTCATATTTTCTATTTGGACGGAAAAATGATATGGCTTCTCAAATATTTATTTCATTATTTGACAAAACTTGGCATACCCGTATCATTTAAAAGTTACAAAGAGTTGATGTTTCTTTCTCCTTTCTTCCTTAGGATCTCATTTTTCAATCTAAGAATTGACAAGTTGGACAAAGAATAGTAACTCCTCTGACAGTGGCAATCTTTCCCTTCTCTGTCTATTTCCTTCAGCAGGAACAGTATGAAGTGCTGCATGGATGGGAGATTTCCAAAGGGAAATTTGGTTTCATGTTTTTATTTGGCCTGTATGTGAAGTGTGGCTTAAAGCCAGTGTACAAACATGCAGCCAGCTCTGGAGTTGGTAATGAGACAAGACCAAATTCTGTGCAGCTTATCCAAATACCTCTACTTTGAAGGACATCTTTGATCACTCAAGCTGGGCTGAGTTAAGAAGATTTTTACCAAAGTGTATATTAGTCAAGCTATCATTGCAGTGAAAACAATGAGTACCAAAGTTAATTATATTGGAAAAAAAAATAAGAAGGAAAATGTTCATTCAGAATTTTAAATATAAGAGTGCACATGTATACATGCTTGTGTACCACACATACATTGAGTCTTAAGTCTTGTCTCATGAATTTTCAGGGTTTTTTACTGATCATACTTATGGTGCATAACTTAAAGAGCAATGTAACATGCTTCTCTCTTTGTGATAATGGAATGGGAGCAGGA